ACTCTCTCTTACATTTCCTTCCTTCGTTATCAGTTTCTTCCAACAGTCCACAGCTGCATGGTCTTGTCTGAGAGATAAAGGATCAAGGGAGAAAAAGGAAAATAATTGTTTAGAGCAATGGCTTTCAACTTTGTTTTTACACTCAGCTATGCACCCACCTGCCGAACTGAACCCAAACTTTCTCGTAATACTTAGTGATCCTTATGTGTAGTGCACTGTGGCATTTTCTACATCACTTGCTCTCCCAAAATGTTGATCATGATCTATTAAGCCGATTGCACAAACCATTGTGGGTAACAAACCAAGATGGAAAAATCTTGGCTTAGAGCAAATTCTCTCAACTTTATTTTTTTCAGTATTGCTTTCCTAAGGAAACTTTTTTAGACATTTTGTTCCCTAATCACAACTCCTCATGACATTTTGATAAGACAGATAAACTGTATATCTGTGCTTTATATATTTAAAAAATGAAGATTTTTTCACCCCCCAGGAACCAATTTGTGCCCCCTTAGGGGCCATGGTACCCCTGTTGAGAATGCATTAGAGACATCATTCCAGCTCATTTTCTGAGCCCTTACACACCATCACAACATCCAATTAGATCATCTTAGTCCAGTTCTGAAGGTGAATAAACCAAGGCTGAGAGGCTACATGAATTATTGAGGATTGAGATGGATTAGGAATCCAGAGACCTAGCAAGATCCTAGCTCAGCTGCTTAATTATTTTTCCAAAACTTTGTTTTCTTGTGTGGAAAACTGTGGGATTGGTCCAAAGAAGTGTTTTCTGTGGTGTTGGTCTTTCCCTGTTTGACCTTAGTAATAGCAAATGTTCATACAGTGCTTACTAGATGTCAGGCACCAATCTATATCCTTTACATATGTTAACTAGTGTAATTCTCACAGTAAACTAAGGGAGATTCCATTATTACTTTCCCTTTACAGATGAGGGAGTTGAGGCACAAAGAGGTTGCGTGACTTGCCTAGAGTCACACAGGCAGTAAGTGACCCACCTGGGATTTGAACCTAATAGTGTGACTTCCAGAGTACCTGCTTTAAACCATGTACTTTAAAAGGAAACTTTTTATCACTATCGAAACTAGAAAAAACAGTATCACTTGTTGTAAATAGAAGGCAAAAAAATAAATAAAATGACAAAACTTATTCTAATGTTCTAGCTCGATACTATCTATCACCTACTCCAAATTTGGAGCTAGAGGCCTGCTCTCTGTTAGCTAAAAGACGAGTTAAGCAAGGATAGTGAGGTGTTAAAGGGCTTTTGGCAGCAAAATGAGACTTTCTCCTGGAATAATCAGAAGTGTTGAAAGAGAATTGGAAAGAATAGCTTTCGTGTGTGTGCATGCTTTCTTGCTGATCTGTGTACCACCTAAAATAAACCCAAGATGGCATGCATTCCACACACGGTGGTCCCTTGTCCGGGCGTTCTAGGAGTGTCCAAACATCCCCCAGGGGAAGGGAGACAAGCTGGCCAGTTCTGGAATAGGGATGCAGCCTCTGGCAGGCAGCCAGCAGTGTCCTCATGGAGAAAGACACCCTGGGATGGCACTGCCCAATCACCCGTCCAGACCCACACAGTGTTAGCCTGCCTTCTGGCCCCAGCCTGGATCTCCAGGTGGAAGTCTCGCCCCAGCATGGTCCTCACAGACCTGTCACACACATTCACCCTGGGCCTGAAGTTTACCGTTTCCTGCTACTTCAGGCTCCTCCATCCAAATACTGTCTTGCTCATCCTCTTTACCTGGGTGCAGTGCTGCCCGGAGCCTCAGAGGTACGCAGGTGTGTTATCATCAAAGGCTGTGAATAAGTAAACAATAAGCAGCCAGAAGTTTTTCCCACACGACACTCAGGGAAGGGTCCAGTTCCCCCTACCGTGCTCTTGGGAGAGTCCTGGCCAGGGTGCCAGAGCATTTATTATTTAGTGCTTTAATTGTACCTGTCCCAGGTTAGGTACTCTTCCAAACAAGTCTAGTCCCACCCTTTAGCCGTACAATAGAAAAAACTGAGGGGCACGATGGGTAAGCTAAAGTCAGAAAACTAAGGCCCCAGGCCCTTTTTTCTACCATAGATTGGCTGTGTGACCTTGGTCAAGTGTCAACCTCTCTGAGCCTCAGCTGTATGTATACAAAGTGCCTTGCCAGGGCTCAAATCCTAGTTCTGCCACTCACTAGCCAGGAGAACTTGTATAAGTGGTTTAAAGCCCTCTGAGCCTTGGGGTTCTTATATACAAAATGGGGACAAGAGTGGTATCTCTAAACAGAGCTGCTAGGATGATCGAATTAGATACGAGTAAAGCACTGTTCCTATGTAGCACTTTGTAAATACTCGTCACGTTGTTCATTAAAAGTTCTTATATTTTTTAATGAGCCCTTGTTCTATGCCAGGTACTCTGCCTACATTTTCTGTAATCATCACAATAAGCCTTGACAGTTTCTTACATAATCCCTACTTTCCAGATGAGGAAGACTGAGGCTTAGTGAACTCAGTTGACTTGCCCAAGGTCACACAGACACATAGTTGGCAGAACTAGAATTCAAATCTAGATCTTTTTCAGTTCTTGAGTTCTTTGTCAACTGGGTCATAATTCTTTTCCATCTATAAAATGGAAAAAAATGGTTTCCGCCACTCAGGTCTACTGCTAGATTAAATAAAGTCCGTGAAAAAATAAAATAAAATAAAGTCTGTGGAGAGGCCTCTAATGATGCTTGCTCTAGCTCAGCGCAGCTTAGCTTCTTCTTCCCTAGGGTTATCATCTAAGCACAGGCCTTTCATTTTCATAATGAGGAGGCTGCTAAACCTCATCTTAGTCTCTGGGAGGCAATATTGTCTGATGTCCATAGGAGGAGCTGAAAGTATTGAGATCAGATCAGAACTGCCAGGTTTCCTTCCCACAGCCAAGCCCAGGCCCTCTAAGGCTTCTTTCATCTGGGCTTTCTCCGTGTTTCAGGTCTCCCATCCACCCCATGATGATTGGGAGGACACATATCCCTTTTCGCTCTTCCCCAGGGGCGGTGCAAAACTACAGGGGATGATATCTGACATCTTCAGCTTTGCACTGTAGGTAGAGGGAGACCTGATGGTTTCTCAGCTATTGCGAAACAAGTTTCTCCCCGCCTCCAACAAATGGCGTAATGTGGGAAGTGGGGCCTTGGCAAAGTGAGGTGCATACATCACCCCTCCTATTGGTTGCCTTGCAATGATCAGGCCTGGTTCACTGTCTACCCTCCTGCATAATGTATGAGCTCATGGTAGGAACAGAATACCATCAGCGGTGAGACTGACCACTGCAGGCCACGAACCTGTCCAGAGGCCTCGCCAAGGCTCACGTCTCTGTACTGGCAGGAGCTGAAGAAGGGAGGGAGTATGTGTCACTTGAGGCCTTTCCTGGGGCTGGCCTCAACTTGGGCCTTCGGATTCTGCAAAGAAGATGGGGGCAGACAAGAAGACAGCCTCAAGAAAGCAAGCTGACCCTGCCTCAGAATCAGTGATGGTAACATTGGGGACAGCTAGACTTCTGTTCTCTGGGCTTGAAGCCCATTCTGTGGTATCAGGGGTGGCTGGGACCTCTTAGTGTGGTTGAAGGTCAGAGGGAGATTTAGGACCCAGGGACACAGCCCCTGGCCACGTCTGTGGCTGTCTTATGGTATAGGCAATCCCCAGGGGCAGTAGCTTTGGTGAGGTCCATGGGGTGGAGAACATGAGCAAAAGTAGGTAAATGGCAACAGTGTTTTCAGGGGGAAATGTAAGCATGTCTGTGTAGAACCAGAAAGGTCAGGAATGAAAGCAGGAGGTCCGAGTGCCTTGGCTCCCTGAGAGCCACCAGTCCCAGGCATCTAGATAACGACACTTCTTTGGTGGATAGAGTTGGATTCGATTCATTCATAGAATCAGCGAGTACTTACTGGAGGCCCCCAAGGCCAGGCCAAGTGCTAGGGCTTGAGATATGGCAACGAATCAGTCCCAGGCTCTCAGATTCTAATTGAGGAGCCAGGCACTGAAGTGGAGAATTCAAATATGTTGTGGTAAAGTATCAGAAAAGCAGTATATATATGGTGCCCAAAGCAGATTCCTCTGCCTGGGGCTGGCAGGAAGACCTCCCTCTGGCAAAATTGAGCAGATGCCTAGAGAACAAGGAAGTAGTTCATTAAGCGGGGAAATGAGAAGGGTGTCCTAGGCAGAGGGAACAGCATCTGCAAAGGTGTGGAGCTGTGGAACCACAGGCACTGGTTCACGAACCTTGAATAGATCTTATGGTGGAGCCTGGGAAGAACTAATGGGACCCAAAATAATCTTATTTGTTTACATATTATCTGATTTCCCCCTCCCCCAGTGGAATATAAGCAACACAAGAGAGGAAATTTGTCTGCCTTATTCTCTGCTACAGACCCAGAGCCCAGAGCAGTGCTTGGCACCCAGTGGGATGTTTGGGATTGAATCAATGGAAGATAGGCAAGGCCCAGACTGGAAGGTGTTGACAGTCAGCTAAAGTATTTGAGCTTTATCCTGGAGTCAGTGGTGAGCTTTCCGAGGTTTAAAAATAGAAAAGGAACAAGACCTACTGTGGGTGGGAAGAAGTCACTTTGGACAATGATGTGAAAGTTCAAGAAATCAGGATGAAGTCTTAAATTCCGGCACTATCAATGAAAACGACTAGAGTCAGTTTGAAAAAATATTAAGGATAAATCCAGACACGCACGTAGCTTTGATTTTTACAATATCCCTGTGAGGCAGGCGGGTCCTCCTTTTACAGAGGGGGAAATGGACTCAGCGAGGCTCAGTGTCTTGCCCGAAGTCACAGCAAGTTGGTGGAGTGGGCTGGAGGTTTAGTCTTCCCTTTGTAGCGGGAGCTAGCGTATGATTCCAGGATCCTACCCAGGAGGGTGGCAGCGGAGGACTGCGACAGAGAACTGGTAGACGTAGAGGATTGGCTGCGAAAGCGAGGTGGGGAGAAGGGATTTGGGTCTCGGCGGCCGCCGTAGAAGCGGCGTTCTGTCCCCATGACAACAGCAGGAAACCGCGATTGGCTTCTGGACTGCACGGCCGCCATGGCCAATTGGACTCTACGCGGCGCGGAATCCGCGAACCGCCCTCGGTCCTGAGGGTGCAGGTGCTGCGGATGGGTAGATGGAGGGAGCCGGGGTGTTGGGACATCGGTGGCCTGGGTCGGGCTGAGGTCTGCGAGGGAGGCGTCACCCTCGAATCCGTCCGGATCCTCACTGCCCAGACTAGGGGCCATCTTTGGGCCTCAGTTTCCCCAAACCGGAAGTGGGAAGAAGAGAGTGGGCACCCCAGTCTAGGGGCCCTTCTCAGCCTTTGAAGCCCTCGACTCTTTCCTCTGCAGCTCCTGAACTGACTGGCGCTGTCCTGCCCCATGGACGTGAGTCCTAGACCCCTTCAGCGCCCTAAACTCACCCTGACTTTGCCTGCCTTCGGGAACTGGAAAGGGGGCTCTTTCCTCAACATAGACCCTTGCAGCTCAGGACAAGAGCTTTGAGAAAGAATGCCAGGGATGGACTTGGTGCAGGAGAGCACTTTCCCACTCTTCCTGGCAAGATGAGTTTGCCAAGAAAACAAGGAGAAAAAGGCTGGACCCTAGGGGCACAGCAGAACAAGATGGACGAGGCAAAGGGAACATCAGGGCAGAGACCTGGGGGGTGTGAGAGAGGATAGGGCATTTGGGGAACTGCTAGAACTTCAGTATGGCTGGAGTGTGAAGGGGGAAGGTGGGAGAGGTAGGTAGGGCTAGACGGAGCCTTTGCCACTGAGATAAGTTTGGATTGAGTCCCTGGGAGCCAATGATGGATTGTAAGGAAAGGAGAGAGTCACAAGGACAGCTGGTGTGGAAAGGGACGAAAACAGTTAAGGGTCAGTAACGTTGGCTGAGGAATCATAAAGAATCAGAGACAAGAGGTCCTTTGAAGAAACATTCTGAAAAGAAGTTCAGTAAGTCTTGGTAAAGTCCAGAATGACCAACACACCCTGATGGTGCTAAAATGGGGATGACGGGGAAAGGCAGGTTTGGGGGGCAAGAGAGTGTAGTCCTATTGACTCACTCCCCACTATCTGGTGGCTGTTCCTTTTCCCAGCCACCTCCGTGTCCCTCTTGGTATTTCTGTGTTCCTGCAGCCCCTCCCAGCTCCTTGTCACTCCTTCCTCCTGTGCTCATTCAGGCCTCCTCTAGCCCGTGGAATCCAGCCCCAGCTCCTGTCAGCAGTCCTTCCCTGCTGCTCCCCATTCCTGCCATCGTCTTCATCGCAGTGGGCATCTATTTGTTGTTGCTGGGCCTAGTGCTGTTGACTAGGCATTGCCTGCTGGTGAGGGGCCTCGTGGGGGCTGAAGAGTGGGCTCTGGGGAGAAGGAACCTGGTAAATCTGTGCCCTCATCTGCATGCCCTTACCCTGAGACTCCTTGCCATTTATTTAGTCCCCACATCTGTCCCTTCCATGAGACCAAAAAGTCCCTCCTCTGCTGTTACTTGCTGAACCTCCTCTTGCCCCTCTCCCCAAAACCTTGTCTTGGCTGTCTCTACTTGCCACCTGGCCCAGATTCTGAGCCCTGTCATCTCCTAGGCCCAGGGCTGCTGTACTGGCTGCAGCTTCCCCTGCAGGAAGCAAGGCGCCTCCAGGCCCCAAGACTGTTGCTGGACCTGTGCAGAAGCCTGCAACTTCCCTCTGCCTAGCCCAGCCCACTACCTGGATGCCTGCTGCCCCCAGCCCACGGAAGCTGTGAGTTCTCACCCTATCTCCTGACCTCCTGAGCCCTGGTACAGGCACTATCTGTGCATTTTTTTTGTTGTTTGTTGTTGTTCAACATTTATTGTTCAGCACCTATTCTAGGCCAAGCACGATTCCAGGTACTGGGTCAGGTGGAGACAGCAAAAAACAACATGAATAACATATCAGATACTTTCTAGTAATGAAGGCAGGGTGAAAAGAAAACAGGGTGGCAGCTGGAGAAAGGCGATGTGTGTAACATGCAGGGCATATAATCACTTCTGCAAATGGTAGTTAAACAGAACCTCTGAGAGCTCCTTCTGTTTATTGAGTGAAAAGTATGTTCCAGATGCTGTGCCACTTTATTGATATTATTATTTTCTCAACAACCCGGAGAGCTGGGTGTTTTTTAAAAACCTGTATGTATATTTTGCTGATTACAAAAAGCATTAATTACAAAGTATGTATGTAGAAATACATAGAAAGTACAAGGCACTTTATAAATCAGCTCTCTAACCAAGGTTGCTATGTTTTGTGTATGTCTTTCATATGCTAATATACAGTACTATCACTGCTGTATTTTACTATTATTTGGTAAAAATGGGTCATACCACATAGACTGTTTCATCACAACTGCTACTTGCCCTTTTTAACTTGACATCACACCTTGGCCACCTATCCATGCCTGTACATGTAGATAGGTTAAGTATTCATACTCTCCTTTCACAGGGGAATCAATTGGCTTGGAAAAGTTTAGTCGCTTCTCCAATATTACACAGTAGAGTCTTGCATAGCAAATTGCTACATAGTGTGTTGGAACAGTCCTCAGGGAGAAGCCTAGCTTGCGGAGAACAGGCCATTTTTGCATTTTTGGTTTTAAAGATGTTCAGTGTAATCAGCCATCTTCCTGGGCAATAACTGTTTGGGGCTCAGCAATTTAGACAGAAGCTACTGTCCTTGAAGTGATGACCTTCCCTAGAAGGAAAGAACGAGGATAAAAGACTAAGCAAATTCATAACTTGGGCTGACTATAGTTGGTGCATTAAAGTCTCTGTTCTTCAGTTTCCTTTGTAACAATAACAACCACAAATATTACAAAGTTCTTGCCTACTTCACAGCTGCAAAAACTGAAGCTCACAAAGCTCAAGTGACTTGCCTGAGGCCTGGGCCAAGACACAAACCCAGGCTTCTCTTCCTTTCGGGGGGAGAAACCTGCCTGTTCTACTTCTATCACAGGCATGTCAGGAGGATCTAGTTCATTCATTCACTTACTGATTCCCTTAACCAAAGATTTATGGAGTCATTGTTGAGGCACTGTGCTGGACCCTAGGGGCACAGCAGAACAAGATGGACGTGGTCCCAGCCTCACAGGGCTTACATGCCAGTGAAGGACAAAGAGAAATAAGGCAATTATAATAGTGCAAGAAATAATGTGATAGAGTGCAGTGGTTGGTTCTCAGCCTTGTGTGTGATCAGAAGCAGGTATGAGGCTTAAACAGCCAGGTATCCAGGCCCCAGACTCAGCAGGTCTGGGATTAGATTGGAGTTTGAGTTTTTAACAAGTTCTCATGTGATCCTGCCCCACACCAGGGTAAAGAACCACTAAGAGGAACGGGCTGTGACAGTGAGAATAGCTCCCATCTATTGAGTGTTCACCAAACACCAGGCTTCATGCTTACTTCTTCCTGTTAATTCCACACAGTGACCTTATGACGTGGGTTCTGAGATGAGGAAACATGAATTAGCCAAACCTGGGCCTGAATTAGATTTGAAGCTGGGCCTGAGCTCTAAAGATGGATGGCCTTTACAAAATCAAAGCAAAAGAAATCAAAGTGAAAAACTGCAGAGCCTAGAGAAACACAAGGGTTAACATTCTTGTGGAGTCTTTGCTTAATGTACTTAAACAGCAGATTCCTTCCAGAAGTCACCTGGCTGCCCGTGAGAGTCAAGATATCCATTAACCAGTTATTAATGACTAGATCTAAACCCATCTAATGGACAGAGCCAAGAAATGCTTTTAATACCTTCTCTGAAGTGAAGGCAAAGGAGTCTTTCTCAGCCACCAATTCTGGGCACAGTGTGGTCCTCCCAAAACCCACAGAACCCACTTCATTCCCAAACTGGGACTCTCCAGAGACTCCAAACCACACCCTCATTCAACGGAAGGAAACCACTTTGTTCTCTCTCCCTTCTACCATGTCTAGTCTCCTCCTTGAGAGCCACTTCTGTTGGCAGTAGCTCCAGCCCAATTCACACCCCTTTCTCTGCAGCCGCTAGATCCCCTCCCCTCATTGGAGCCCCTAGTGCTATCTGATCTCACCAGTCATCTGACACTGCACCCCAGAAACCTCAGCTGCTCAAAAGGTCATTCCCCTATTCTTGGCTTGGCCCGGTGTCTGAGCTGTGCAACTGTGACTGTCACTAGCTCTGCCTCAGGCCTCAAGGAGCCAATCTTCTGTCACATATCCTGGGCATGTCCCACTCCAGCCACTTGGCCTGACTCCAGTCCATGCCTGAAGCAGTCTCAGATCATCTCTGCCCTAGTCCCAGGGCAGGAGAGGAGTGGGTTGGAGTAGGCTGTTCTCCCTTCCTGTCTCTAAGGACATGCTGTTCCTATTCCCTAAGAGGCAGACCTTCTGTTTCCCCTGGGAACTGCGAAGCCCTTTTCTCTTCTTTGCTTAAAGAGGGAAAAATGATGTGCTTTGGTTCATCTATTCATTCAACATTCATTGCTGAGCCTGAGTCCCCATGCTAACTCAGTGGAGACATGTGGTGAACTGTCCCTGCCCCTGCAGACCCAGAAAGAAGCTGCCATTCCTGGTGCTGGGAGGCAGTGGGGTTGAGGGGGATCTCGGGACTGGAAGCAGACAGGCAGGTCCCTCGCAGCAGCATTCTCTAGTTGTATTTCTCATTCTTTCAGGCAGTCACTCCCTTCTCTGAGCCTCCACTTCCTACTTGTTAAAGAGGCGCCCTACTCAAGGTTCTGATCATTAAAATAGATGTAATTCTTTTGAGGACATTAAAATTTTTTAAATATGCAAATTACCATTTTCAAAGAAAACTAGAAAGATTTAAAAAATCCATGCATAAATGCAGACTGTGCCTTGATCAGAATAGGTGCTCAGAAATGAATGATGAATGAGATCCTGCAGTTTGGTCTCATGTCAAGAAATCCACAAAACCGGCAAATTATTTTCATCATGGACAGAAAATGTATGTTTACTTTCCCTGTCTGTTGACTTTTAATTGCATGGGGCAGTGATGCGGTAGAACCATCACTGAGGTGAACATTGGGACACCCAAATTCTAGCATGGGACCAGGCCAGTTGTTCTCTGGTCCTCCAGTCTCCTTGCTCATAAAATGGAAGAAAGAGAGAACCGCCTGAATAATTTCTTCCAGATCCTGAACTCAGTTGTTTGGAACATTACCTCCTTGCTGATTTCTCAACAGCACAGGGAATTGATTTGTTCATCAGGAATAGTGGATGGTACTCTGTTCCACTAGGCACACGGGCCTTTCTGGGCTTGTTCCCTTCTCCCTCAAGAGGGTACCAGCTTCAAGTTCTGGTCTCCCTTCCTCCTGCCCACCTCTTTTCTTTTCTCCCTCAGGGTTGGGCCCCTCGCTGCCCTAGTTGCTGCCCACTCTGCGACTGTGCCTGCGCGTGCCAACTTCCTGACTGCCAGAGCCTCAACTGTCTCTGCTTTGAGATCAAGCTCCGATGAGGATCCAAAGTCCCTGCCCTCTGGGGAGCGGCCAGCCCCCAGGGCTCACATGCCCTCTTCCCTGAGGGGCCTCAGGACACCTTTCTCCAGGCCACTAGAACCACAAGTGGCCAGCCCAACTCACTGGCCTGGGAACCAGCTGTGGAGAGAGCTTGGCTCCTGGCAGAGCAGGACTCAAAGAGCCCTTGGCCGGCTGGACTGCAGCCCCTTTGTAGGGCCAGAAGGGAGAGGGACTAGTGCTCTGACAGGTGCCCCTTCTTCCCTTCCCCAAGTAAACTCATGTTTGAAGGTGAGGGTGGGGATACTGCTCACCAGACAGCATTATGGGAGGAACTTGGGCCTTGAGCATCAGGATATAGGGGCACCTCAGCACACTTGGTCCATGGGTTCTTGGTTGGTTGGTTGGTTGGTAATTTATTTATTTTTTTTATTTTTTAGGCGAGGCAACCCTTGGTTGACCTCACAGATTACAAAGACCTTGACAGTTTACAATCCCTTATTTTTTATGCCTACAGCACCTGGTCTTCCTAGGTGGTCTTCCATCCAAGTACTAACCAGGCACAACCCTGCTTAACTTCCAAGATCAGACAGGATCGGGCTCGTTCTTGGTTATTTTGAGATGTGAGTGTAGTGCCTGCATCCGCTCTCCCTCGAAAGAAATAGGCTCCGGAGAATCATAACAGCCCCCATCAGAGCCCAGTCAGGGAAAGGATCAGAGGAGGCAGGGGAGGCCACATGGGCTGAGTCCCCTTTCTCTCCCCTCTTTCTCCACAGATCTCTGTCCAAAGATGTATTTCTCTTGACAACAGTTTGAGGGCCTCAGTCTGGATTTTCAAGGAAGAAATTTACTCTGAAGCACAGGTGAGTGAGCAGGGAGCCTCCCCTGACCCTCAAAATAGGGCAGGCCCACAGCTCCCTCTCTCCCCTCACTTTAGGCCCCACGCTGGCGTGAATGCCAGGGGCTTCAGGTTTCCCTAAATATAGGTCCTTGCCAGGGGATCCGTGGCGTGGAAAGGGCAAGAGTCACTGGAGAAGGTTGGGGACATTGGTTGGGGGGAGGGTGGAAACTGCTTTATAACCCAGCCGGGTGTGGCGTGGCTCACTCGCTGCTGACCAGGCTCTGCCCG